CCCCCGGCCACCGGACTCCCCATCCCCTTTCCGCACACAAACCTCTTTCCGCTTCCTTCTTCCTGATCCACTTCCAAGTTCTTGCCTGCCAGCCTGGCGCATTTGTCAGCCTCGGAGGTGCTGCCAGCACATGTGAGGTGGGCATGTGGGCCCCCCAAAGCAGCGGCCGGGTGTTGTCGCCTGGTGGGAGGGCTCCTGTGGGGCGGCAGGGTGGGGCGGAACACCCGATTCTCCGGTCCCCATTCCCGGTTGGGCCTTGCAGTGGCCTGGTGGCACGCCGGCCTTGGGAACCGTGGGTGATGGGGAGCCGCGGATCCCAGGGCGCCCGGCTGCACGCTCGCATGGAGGGGCTCCCCTGGCCTGGGGGTGGCCGCTTGCTGGGGAGCGGATGCGGCCATGGCGACGGCCAGCCTGGCTTCTGGGGAAGAGAAAGGGCTGGTGGGCTCGGAGGGGAGCGAAGAGGAGCTGGCCGTGTTGGTGGGAGAGCTGGAGGGGACCAAGGAGAGCCGCCTCGGGCCATTCGGGCCACCCGGGCTCCTCTGGGACTTCACAGCTGGGTGTTGAGCATTCCTGGAAAAGAGAGAAAAAACGGGGCTGCACTCAGACCCACCGCCCGCCCGGTCTGGCCCCCCACCCGAAGCCCATCTCTGAGGGAGGGCTGGAGCCGGGCACGCGCAGGGTCCGGATGGGGCAAGGTCTCCTGCCCTGCTTTGGCCCCTGAATGAAGGCGCTGAGGGGTGGGCTGGGGTGGGGGTCATGCACAGCACCCGGCTGCCTGCGCCCCCACTCAGTGTGCATCCCCAAGGCTCCTCCCCCAGCAGAGGATCGCCTGGGTTCGGAGGCTGGCAGATGGTCAGGCCAAGCAGCCTCTTCCCAGGCTGGCATTTAGCAAGTGTATACACACAGAGAGAGAGAGAGAGAGAGTGGGAGAGAGAGAGGGACAGAGAGAAGCAACCCGGAACGCTAGCTGCGTGGAGCTTAACTGAGAGAGGAGCGCCATGCCTTCCCAGGTGCAAGAGCAGAGGTGACTTGGCCCTTGAGGATCACTTCCCCACGCCACCCCTGCACAGAGCCAGGATCTGTGCCCAGTTGCCCTGGCAGTGGGGGAGGCTGGGGGCGTTTGCACATCCAGTCATGTCCAGTAGCTGGCAAGCCACCCTTGCAAGCGTTCCAGCATGGACAGGATGTGGACCAGCTGAGAGAGACAGAGGAAGGCCCCCTCCTCCCCATGGCCTCTAGGTGTTCCCAGGGGTGGGTGGAGAACAAGGGGGGCCACAGCAGATGCTCTTCCCTCTTTGGCCCGTCTGGAGCACACAGGAGGATCCCCTTGGTGGAAACCCCCCCCCCGTGCCCACCTTCCCCAGGCTATGCATCCCGAAGGAGGGTGGCAGCTCTCAGAAGGCACCGTTTCCTCTCAACCCCTGAAGCCACATAGCAAGAAAGGAGGCAGGAGGGAGAACTGGGGTCGGGGTGGAAGGAAAGAGAGAGGCGGAAGGGTCAGCCTGGCTGTAGGAGCAGCCAGCAAGGGGCAAATACAGTTGCTGTTACCAGGGAAAGGAAACCGAGGCTGGAGAGGCAAAGGGAGCGATGGAAGTCCGGGGGGGGGCGAGAGGGAGGGAGAGAAGCAGAGGCTGCCTCCACCCGAAGGGCTCGCAGGAGGAGCTGGGGGGGCTTACTGCCCCCACTCCCAAAGACACCCACCTCCCTTGGCAGTCAAAAGAAAGCAAGGGGGAACTCAGGCACCACATAAACCAAGGCCAAGGGCTGCCTCTCCTCAGCCGACTGCCTGGCGGAAGAGAAGTTCTGAGCGGGCACCACATGCCACTCTGCGGGCAGAGCACCTGGCAGTGATTCCAGGCCCGGATCCAAGGTCCAAGATCCTCCCCTCATTTTGCAATGTCCCTGAGCACAGAATCTAGAAACAAATGTGAATTTCTTTCTCTAACTGCCAGTTTCTGGAGCACTTGTATCTTTCAACACCTGCACAGGCGGAGCCCTGGAACCCCCTCCCTTGGCCAGGACAAACCCCCAAACCTGTCCTACTCCTAACATCTCAAGGACTTCCCCTCCTTCTGCTGGGCTTTACGTTGCTCCCCTTGCCCTGTGCAAGGTTTAAGGTCCAGGTTTTTGCCTGCCTACACCGAAGAAGAAGTACAGGCGAGAGTTTTAAAAAAAAAATGCAAGTCCTTTTGTTTTTAACGGATCAAGATTTCAGCTGTGCCTGCAAAACCTCTGAGTGTCGCACTCTGTGCAAAATGGGAGTCCTTCAGCCAAGAAACCAAGTATATATAGACACACACACACACACAGGACTGCCTGATTTCTCAAGAAAGGATGTCCTCCAATCTGCCTGCTGAAGTTACAACATCTGCAGAAGTAGAGTCAATAGCTCCGGAAAATGTCTTGGCCTTTTTTGTTTTTTGTTTTATTTTTTTAAGGACAAGACAGAAATCTTTGCACCTGCCGTGGCCTGCCCTCCCTGCTCGGAAGGAAATGCCACTGAGTTCAGGGGGACTTACTCATGCCCAGGAGTGGAGGAACAGGGCTGTCCCTGTACAAGAAAAGAAAGCAAAACGCTTCTCCCAAGACGGGAAATCCATTCCCCGCTGCTGCTGACCAGTCCGGGCCTCTCTCTGTACCCCAGCCCCTAAAGGCAAAAGGAAAGGCCACTGGGGAAATGCACGAGGGAGGGTCCCGGTGGTGGTGGTGGTGGTGGTGGGCTACCTCAGAGTCAGCCTGCCTGGGGTGCTCGCAGGGGGCAGCTGCTACTCCTTGCAGACTGCAAGAAGGAAGAAAGCTTTTCCAGGTCAACCGAGTTTGTGTGATGAAACCAGTGCTTTGCAAGACAAGTTAGCTTTGACAGACCTGAGTAGCCTGCTTAAAGCATTCCAGACCTCAAACGCGTTGCAAGTGAAGAGTCAGGGATAAACCTGAGCTACTCTAAATAGCGAGGCCCTTTAATTGTTCACCTACTTTGTCTCCAAGGGGAACAGGTGATGCCTGAAGGACTAACAAACACATTGGCCTGAGGCCAGCAAAGCTCCCAGCCAGACGACAATATGAAGCAGCCACACTTGTCGACTTTCAGGTGCCTGAACACAGAACAGGGCTAGACACACCGATGCACATGCTCACATGCAGGTTTCTGCAAACGTCCCTGCGCAAAGGGTCAACATTCAGCGTGCAGGGGGTGAGGCGTCAGTGCTTGTAAGAGGGGGTGGGAGGAGGGCTCTCCCTTTCCAGGTGGAAGTTCCCCAATTTGCTTGAAGCTGCACATCCAAGCAGCCGGCGGGCTGGTGGCTGTCGCTTCTCCTGAGGCAACCCGTCCCCACCAGCATCCTGGACCACCCCCGGATTCAAGCATCAGAAGCCACCTCAGTCCCCATCCCACTGCAAGCCTGCAGCCTTAAACAGCGGTCATGCAAGGAAGAGACTGAGAGAGCAGAGAGCAGAGAGCAGAGAGCAGGTGCACTTACTCGTAGAGGAGTAGCCCTGGAGGGCCTCTAACCTCATGTCCCCAGCCTCCTCTCTCTCCTCCTCCTCCTCCTCCACTCTGGAAAAGAGAACATACAAGGCGCACCTTCAACCCCGGATCGGGGATCGCTTGCTCCCTGCTGAGCAGGAGGGGAAGAGCTCCAGTCTGCCAGAGCCTGGGGGGTGGGGGTGGGTCTCAACACCCTTGTCTCTCCCCATCATCATCATCATCATCATCATCATCATCATCTGTCCCAAAGGGCCCAGTCCAGCCCAGACAGGGCCAGGCTGAGGCCTCCTCCTTCGGGGGGGGGGCTGGGATGTGCACCCCTCCTCCCACTCCTGCCTCCCCTCAGCTTTAGGAACTGCTGTGGGCAGCCTCTCCTCCCCTCAGAGGTGCCACTTGGGAGAATTGCCTCAGGGGGAGTTAACACCCCCCCCCATGTGTCTCCAGCAATGCAGCCACACTTCTGCTCTTTCAGCCGCCAAGCAGCCTGCCAGTTGGAACCAAGGGGGGGGGGGTGCCAAGAAGAACAAGCCCCCCCCCGGGAAGGTCACCCAGAGGGGATGCTTTTCGTCAGCTCTTGCAGGGACAGCTGGTGACCCACACAAAGTTAGGATCCCACGAAGAAGAGCCGAAGAGGCGCCAGAAGAAAAGGAAGAGGAAGAACTGCCAGAAAGTGTTACTGACGGGGAAAATATCCGAGTGGGAAATGCTTGTCTGAGGAGCACCCCCCCCCCCGATTACCCCCCCCAGCCCTGGGTTTAGCTGCCTTTACAAGCACAAGCAATCTGGTCAGTTGGGGGGGGGCTGGAGCTGGAGGGGGGTGGAGAGGAAGAGACAGCACTTTGACCGCCCAACACAAAGGAGTGCTCCCCCCCCCCAATAGCACCCAGTATCGTCTGAGGAATGCTCGCTTGCAGGGCTTTGGGGCTGTCAGGAACTGACCCCAGAGGGGGGAAAGCTGTGGCTTCCTCCAGCCGCTTTCCGGCCACCCAGGGCCGACGGACGGGCTCCTTCAGGGATGCCGATGTGCCCGAGGAGAGGGCGCTGCTGCGGCTGCCCCTCGTCTCCTCCCGTTGAAGGGCAACGTGGGGCCTCCTGGGCTTCCACCCCATGGCTACAAGGCGGGCTTTGAGCCCATGGCCACAACGGCAGGAAAGGCCCCTCTGAGGCCACCAGGTGGAGGCACTTCAGCCCCCCCCTTTGTTCCAGCCTGGCCTCTCTTTGCTGGCCCCCTCTCCGAGGTTTCCCCTGGGCCCAATCCACTCTGCTTGGAGCCATACAACACTGCCGTAGCCCCAGCCCTGCCACCCTCCCACAGCAATCCCCAAAACCAACCAAGGGGCCCGTCGCATCTTGAACCCTGACAAGCTCTGGTTTGCTCTCAGCTTTCAAGGGTCGTGGGTGCGAGAGACGACCGAAGGAGCGGCATCCCCTGGATGCCAGTGGGTGGTGGTCCTCGGAAGCAGAGGCTCGAGGGGAGACTGGCTCGCCTTCAGGCGGCCCCAAGGGCTCCTGCCTGCATTTCATGGCAGCAGACGGCAGATTCCAAGCTGGCAACCCCCCCCCCAATTCCCCCCCCCCAGTACCAAAGGCTCCCACACACAGCAGGAGAGAAACCGAGCCAAAACTGCCTGCACAGTTAATGGTGTCGGGTTGCCCAACCTGATGTGTTCCTTCTCTTTCCTTTACACACACACACACACATACACACAAAACACCCAACGGTGCGACTCCCAGCATCCTCTCTTTGGACGGTGATCCACCCTCTCTCATCAATGTCTGTACTGCGAAGGTGGAGTCTCCTCACATAATCCAACCTTTCCCTCCCTCCCTCCCCCCCTCCCTCATGCCTCCCCCCCCAACACCCTCTCCATGCCATTAATTCACTGATAGCCTTTCTGCTCCCTGCAAGAGAGGAGGTCAGGCTGAGCAAACTCAAACCCTGCATCTCCAGAAGGCAATTGCCTGTCAGATTATACGTCTACCTTCTCTGTCCTTTTAAAAAAGAAATTAATGTTTGTGTTTGTAAAAAAGAAAGAAAGGAACCTCAGGGAGCCAGAGTGACCCATGGCATGAGGTGGGGGCAGGGGTGCCCCAGGACCACCTGGAAATGGGCCCAATCCACCCACCCACCCCATGCCTGATTGCTTCTCTCTGCCCACAGCCCCTGGAAGAGCTTTTCTGCAGGTTTTCTGGGGGCGAGGGGTGGGCGAGGGGCTTCCTTCTGGGCTGTGCCCGGCCAACCTCTAGCTCTCCCACAGCCCCTCCCCCACCCACCCCCCAGCCTGGACCCCCTGAAGCAGCCAGACCCACTGACCGTCCGGGGAAGTACTTGAGGGGCTCATGGTCGGCGTAGAAGGGGTCCTCCTGGAAGGCCTGCTCGAAGACTTTGCGCTTGTGCCGGAACTCGATGACGGTCTTGGTGTAGGAGTTGAGGGTGGTGACGGAGGCCGCCATGCAGCAGGTGAAGGAGCCCCAGGCATTCAGTCACGTTGTTTTGTTTCTTGTTTCTGCTTCTCAGGACAAGTGAGCTGTCTGAGATGGCAGTCAAATGAAACCTTCGAGAACCAGGTGATGGGCAGCCACCCACCCACCGTGTCTCTGTGCCCCTCTTTGCTTCCCCAAGGCAAGATGGCCAGCCCACCCCGGCTATTTGAGCAGGAGGCTGCAAAGCCTAAACACCAGACACCCTCCTTTTATACTTCGACTGTGGTATAAAGGAGACACATGTCCTTCCAAGCTGCCCCGTCTGTGTAACCAACTTGCAAATGCAGGAGTGTGGTTTGCATTTGGAGAGCCGGCCACTGAATAACCTTCCTAATTCCTTCTATCCAGCTGTTTCCCGACACTCCCCCCCCATAGCCTCCATCAAAGCCAGTGCAGTCTGGTGCAATGGCTGGAATGGATTCCCCAAAGGTTCAGAGCCAAGACCAGGCTGAGCCAGGAAAAGCAGAGGATGGCCTCGGGCCGGTCACTCTCTCCCAGCCTGGCCGACAGGGCAGGGTTGCTGTCTTGAGGACAGAGGGGGAGAAAGGGCACCCGCAAGCCAACTTTGATGGAAATGGCACCAGTCAAAAGACGGGCTGGCCAAAGAGCCACCCTCCAGCTTGTCCAACCGGGCCTGTCGTTTGACGGCCAGGTGCCGAAACCTCCCACGGGCCACCTGCCCGGGTGCCGACAGACTCACCAGAAAGACCAGCCGTAGTCCCACGAGTGAGGCCTCCAGTCTTCTGGGCCAAGGCTGACCGTCACCTGGAACACTTGTGTGTACATCATGTGGGCAACCATCCCCAAGAGCCCTGCCGGAGACAGTCCCCGAGAGCAGGGTCACCCGGGAGGGGCAACTGGGGAGAGCCGGAGCCTGGCGCTTGGCCCACCGCAGCCAAACCCGGCTCCCTCGGCCATTCCCCTCCGGCTCCCTCCTCCAAATCGGGAGCTGCCGGAGATTGGATCTGGCGCCTTCTCTCTCTCTCTCTCTCTCTCGCCCCCCCTCCCCACCGGCTTGGCCCCCAGTCCACCCTACCGCTCTTGGCTGCCAAGCTCCCTTCCCTCCTTTGTGGTGGGAGGGGGCACAGTGAGTGAAGGGCACAAGGGAGCCCCCCCTCCCCCCAGCAACCTGGTCAACCCTGCCCACCCCACACATCCACATCCAGATGGAGGATGCTGCCACATCCACTGGCAGAGGATGATTCTCTTGGGCCCAACTCTGCCCTACCAAGATGGGGGGGGGACGACAGCTCTCCAGTCACCCAGCAGAGGGGGACAGGGATGGGCGGTGTGTGTGTGTGTGTGTGTGTGGCCTTTCCTGGCTCCTATTCCTTGGCCCTTTTCTTAAAGGTCCCTGCAAGCTGCTCAAGGGCTCAGCCTGAAGTTTTCTGGGTGTTTACGCGCATGCACACAGCACACACTCACCGGACAACACGGTGAAGACCGCGGCGAAGGCGTTCAGCTTGAGCCCACCGATCACATTGTTGGAGTGCAGAAGCTCAAGGCACATGAGGCTGAAGCCCACCACCAGGAGTGCGATGTAGAGCACCTCGGAGACCACGGAGAGCCACAGAACCCCTGGGGGCAGAAGTGCACTGTCAGTGCACGTGTGCGTGCGTGTGTGTGTGTGTGTGGCTCCCAGGGGACCCATCCCCTGCTGAGTGAGGAGGGCCAGGCTGGGGGCAGCAGAAGGAGGGAGGGGCAGCAATGGCCAGCTCCTCAACCAACCTGCCAGCTCAGTAGAAAAATGAGCCGCTAAGACAGGATTCCAGGCCACTGGCACCCAGAGGGGTTCTTAGCTGCCTTTCCAAGCAGTGAAAGATGAGTCCTGGCAAAGAGCTGCTGTTCTCGTGGCAAAACCAAGCCCTAACATTTCACTTCCCCAGAGTCTCTTCTTCCCAACCCAACGAAGGCAAACAAATCAACTGCTTGCAAAACTGTGATAGATGCTGAAGGATAAGCCTTTGCTGCTTACGTCAGGTCTGCTTTTAATTGTGAAGCTCCCCATCTTGCCTGTTTTGGCCACAGATGAGTGCGCCAGGAGTGGCAGCTTCATAATCCACTTGGAGACAGAGACTAGAACAATGCACTGCTTATTCTATATGAAGCCCACCCACCCTGTGGGTTTTTTTGTTGAGCAACATTTTTGCACCATCTGTCTCAGGAAAGGAAATGAACAGAATTTAGGAAGTATCATCTGCCTAGAAAATTTAAATCCTCTCTTTTCCTCCTGGGCTGGAGCTGAGCCCACCATCATTGCTACAAATCCCCAGAAGCTCCAGAAAAGGGCGCAAGAAGGCAAATTAAGCATCTGTGCCATGTCAATGGCCAGCGACCGAGAGCGTGCCCTTTCTCCTCTGGAGAAGTACGAGAAGCACATGGCCCCCATGCATGGGGGAGCGGGGCACCAGGCAGGGGAGGAGGCAGGTAAATGAGGGGGTGGGTGGGAGAGGAAAAAACAAAGAGCCTCCCCCCCCCCCGCGTATAAATCCCAGACTGAAAGCAAGAACAGGCTGTGAGCGCATAGCCGAGATGAGAGAGGGAAATTCAAGCAGGAGGAGCTGGAAGGCAAAGGCCATGGCGGGTGGCGGGGCTGGGGGGGGGAGATCCCGGGACACCCTCTGTGGGCCCTGAGCTCGACCCTGCAGCAGGGGGGGGGCTCCTTTGGCTGGAAGGGTCCTGGCATCCCCACATGCCACTGGGGTCAAGCAAACGCCACCAGGAAATCCAGGACGCACCGGCCTCCCCTGCTCTGCCCGAAGGCAGTGTGAGAGGTGCTCTCTCGCTCGCTCGCTCGCTCTCGCTCTCTCCCTTTGGGACCTGGCTTGGGGATTCTGGGGTGCGCGCCCCAAACAGCTGTGCCTCAGCTGGCACACCTCAGCCAGGCACAGAGGGAAGCACCTCCACGGGCGACACCTTCAAAAGGCCGGAGAAAGGGCCGGGGTGGGGTGGGGTGTCGGGATGGGGAGAAAGAGAGGCTGGGACTCCAGACGGAGCCACCAGGGTCACCTGCAAGCCGAGAGGATGACACCCGGCGCACGTCTTACCTTTCTCCGACGCTGGGGCCAGATCAATGAAACTCCGGCATTTTTCACCTTGAAGAGAAGACGAGAGGATTGGAGGGCGAGAGAACAGGACCGCCCCGTTTGGCAGAGGCGCAGGGCTTCCCAGGGCCCCAGCAGGGCCCCTCTCTCCACCCCCACCCCTGCACCCCTCTCCAAAGGTGGGAAGCCAGCTCGGCTGGTTGCAGGACCCTCTGGCTCCCCGAGTGCCCCCTTGTGTGGCCTGGATGGGGCTGCTCTCCCTACCTGCACCCACACCTCTTGGAGTGGGGTGGTGGTTGTCCTCCATCCCTGTCATTGACACCCCCCCCCGAAGTACCAAGGCAGGGATCAGGACCGGTCCCCTTGCAGACCCTGCACAGCCGTGCTGCACTGCCAGGTCAGCCTCAGGAGGTGTTTTGAGGCCTGGCAAGGAAGACCCTGGGCAACAGAAGCACCCAGTCCCACCCCAGAGACAGAACCCCCTCCCCCCCTCCACAATGCAACATTATGTAACGGTGCATAATTCTGCAAGGCGGAGCTGCACAAGCACATGATTTGTGCCATTATTCGTAGTTTATGCTATTCATAGAAGATTGATAATAGCAACCACAAGAGTGACAGGGAAAGAAGCACTAAGTGGATCCCCCCCCCTCTTCCTCCCTCTGAAAACCCGGGGGGGGGGATTCAAGAGAAGAAAAGGACAGGAGTAAGAAAGCCATTGCTACTTGTCCCTCATCCTTGGTTGGGGGGGTGGGGGAGAAGAAAGAAAGAAAGCCAGGAAAAGGATCAATCTCACCTGGAAAACTAGCAAGCTATCTTTAGCAAGCCTTCGGAGGCGGGAGGCCAGGAGGGCCTTGACGGGGGTATTATTTTTGGGGGTCAGCAAAAGCAGGCAGAAGGAGGGGGCAGTGTTGCCCACAGAGCTAAGGAAGGCCAGGCAGCCTCTCCCACACCCCTTCCCTCCTGGTTCCTCCCAGTGCTTGCTGACCCCCACCCCCACCCCCACCCCACCATCAAGTCTGACCCTGGGTCCAGCCAGCCCAAGGCTGCCGATTCCACCTGGGGAGGGGGGGTTCCCAGGACGCTGTCTATCATCGGAGGGTCCTGAGACCCCTCTGGTGGCCTCCTCAACAAGGGCTAAGGTCGGGTGGGTTCAGGATGGGAGGCAGGATTCCCATCAAAAGGGCAATAAAGCCAAGGGGCCCCGAGAGGGGCCAGGTGGAGAGGGAAGCATCTGGGTGAGGAGCCAGGAAGCACCCCCTTGCACCCCCTTCCTGCCAAGGAAGCACCATCAACAAGCCTTCACGCCAGGCTACGAAACACGGAGCAGCCGCCAACCGGAGCCAAGCCTGGGCTGACCTTCCCTTCAGGTTGTTGGCAGCTTGCAGTCCTTCCCGTCCGTCCGGAGACTCGCCTCTTCATTAAGGCTGAGGCATTGCTCGGTGAGTTGCCCAGCAAAGGACCATCCGGCAGATGGCAAGCCCTGGACGGGCGCTGGGCTCCTCCTCTCCAGCCCTTCCGGAACGTTCCCTTTCACTGTAATGGTTTTCTCCCTGGTTTGTCTATCCTCACCTGTTCATGCTTTTTAGAAATTCTTTTTCGTATATTCTTCAGTTGATGAATGGGGCAAAACTTTTTCGAAAGCAGGGGAGTTGTGCTTAGGCTTGCTTTACCCTGGAGGAATCCCAAGGTGAATGCAGCCAGAGGGCAGGGGGAAGGAAGCGCAGTTTAAAAAATTCCCACCCTGAATTTCAATGGAAAGTATGTGTGAGATGTGAAATTCATTTGGGAGAGACACCATTTCACCTCCTACTTTGAACAATGGCCACCGTGTGCCCCCTGAGGGTTTCCTAGTGACCCTGTTCCCGGTCACAGCTTCCTCATCTGAGCCCAGGTGAGACGACGCCAACGCCACCACTCTGCCCATCTTGTCCTGACCAGCTCTGGCCCCTGGAACAGCACGCCACTCACTCGGGACCTTCTGCCTACATCTCATGCAGGACCTGCGCTCAGTACAGTGTCACGGACCGCCTTGCAGGAGAGGAGCAAGGTTTAACTGTTGCATTCGCAAAAAGCGCTTAACTTGGTGGCACTGAAGCGACGACCCGGCGCTCACGCACTTTCCCCAAACAGAGCTCTCTAGTTTCCTCTTTACTGGCTAGGATTTATTCCTGCTATTTTTGAACATATTGTATAACTGATCTTCTTCTAAGCTTTTAAAATTGAATTTTAAACACTTGGCATGGCCTCTGGGTGGCTGCACTGCCCTTTTCCAGCCCCACCAACCTCTGAACCCTCGGAGGGAGTCAGCCGGTCCTGGCGAACAAGCAGCCTGGAGCTCACACAGGTGTCGCCTCTGCACCTCCCCAAGCACAGCCCCCCCCTCCCTGCGCCCAGCAAGCCGTCTCTTCGCCCGGTGGGCATGGATGTCAGGGAAGACGAG